TAACATATTTACCCAGAGATTGAGGAGAGGGGTTCAGACGGTGGGGTGGGAACATGAACATATTGATGTAGGAGAAAGCAACCATGGATGGGTTGATGGAGCTGCTGGGGAGGGATGAATTGCTATTATTTAAACCACCGATAGGCTACCAAGCTTTGCAATTCAGTCTTATCACTAGAATGCCCTCAAAAGTCTCATCTCGTTGTGAGATGCAAAAAATTAACTTCATGTTAGAGAGTAACGGATTTATTTATTTGAATTTACTCTTCAACAAAAATAAGACATTGTTCAGGAAAACATGTCCATTTTTATTCCCTTTCTTGTGTTGTGGAGCTGAGTTTCTGAGTTTTTCATTTGCTTTTCTTCGTTCTTTAATGCGGAATTTCAAACCATGGTTGTAAGATTATCTAGAATGTACTTATTCCAAGTTATCTTTATGTTTCAAAGATTCAGCACTTGGTGTTGGATTCGATTTTATTTTTATCAATTTGCCTTTTTCAGTAGAGAAGTGATAGATGGAAAGATTTGTGTTCTTGATCAATGTTATCATTAATATTTAATGCATTAAATGTACATTTGAATCCAATATATTCTTCTAATCATCTTTTAGACGCGTGCTCTGCACGCGGCAGTTATAAATATGAGATTTCAAGAATCTTGAAAGTTTTGGTAATGGTATATGTAATTATCAAAAAACCACATCGATCAACTTCTCTCTCATTATCATTATTCGTTTATTTGATCGGTTGGCAAAATTGTTCAAGATTGTTTTCTTAAAGTACATGTTTTGAACGTCATTGTACATATATGTGCATAAAAGTAGATTTCATTTGGACAAATTCTTATATTGAATAGCATCTCTATAATTTACAAGTTACTTGTGCCCGTTAACAATCATATCTTTATAGTAATTGAAATTGACATCCATGTTTATCCATGAAGATACCCATGGAAAGCTAGTGAAACCATTTTTTTAGTAATGCTATTCGTAGTGAAAATTGTCAGTAGTCACCCTACACATACACATGATAGTTTGTTATTTGATGCATTAATTTGATAGTTTTTTATTGCCTCATGCATCAAATAACAAACTGTCACGTATATGCCACATAGGGCGACTACCGGTAATCTTCACTGTGAATATTATTATTCATTTTTTTTTT